AATATATATATATATATATATATATATATATATATATATATATATATATATATATATATATATATATAATGTATATTGTATAATTCTTGATATATAATATGCTCACAAAGATATCTTAAGTATGGCTAGAGTAACGGAAGTGACAACATAACTAAAATGAACTGTTTAACAAACTAAAGAATTATGCATTAGAATAAAACGCTCATAAATGTTTAAGAATGTTAAAGATAATCTAAAGTTAATTGCTTAAGAATTAGAGGGAACTAAGGTTTAGAATTAGTGAATTAAAGAAATGGGATTTGGAGGTGAGGACTACTTTTAGACTTCCGATCCCGGCACCCGACTCTGACTGACTGCCTCGCCGGCCACTACTCTACTGCTACTGAGCTCTTGTGATCCCGCCTTTAGGAGGGGACCTGAATGGTAGTGATGCCATCTGAGATGCCTTCCTTTTGGGAAAGGAAGGTTTCGTACCTGGAGTGTCTCAGGTAAAGGATTGTTTGGACAAAAAATTATTACTGGCTGGCGGCCTGGTCGGTCGGACGTGACATCTTCCCCTGCGGATTAAAATGTTGGTCCTACCTGGACCGACATTTCATTACATTTAAAACGTTTGTTACAATTACCATTTCCTTAAATCCTAGTCGCACTCAGGTATTTGTTCAATATGCTATAGTCATGCGTGGCTGTATGGCCATGTCCCTCCATTTGCGTTTCACTCGCTGATTTTTGCTCACTCGCGGTGTCACTGTCTTGTTGTTTTACTAACACCTCTAATACTTGACCTTCATCTTTGGGTTTCTTTTTTTCCTGTTGTTGCTTCTGTCTCCCAAGGTGGATTAGAAAATGCGTGATAGAGCTCCAAACAGCCCCGATGAGATGAATGCTCCATTCGTAAATCGAGTGAATAGCGTATCCTCTGATAATGAAATCTATGAGCAACTTAAATAGTCGCATCATCAGGATTATGGCGATAACTCCTGCGCTGGCTGAGCCGAAGGTGACAAATTTTTTCCATAAGCACGTTCCTGCGCTCTCCGCGATCTTTTCGAATGACTCCTCATCTAAGATGTGGTAAAGGGAGACTGTTCTCGCTGGGATGTTTCCTCTCATTGCACCGTGTGCCAAGGTGTTTAGCATGCCTGGTTTCTCCATTGGGAACATAATGTGGTCCCGAAAACGGTTCAGGTCGTCCGTCGAGTACATGCCACTTGTCGCAAGGTGCGATTGATCTATGTATTTCCACTTAGGTTTGGTAAGTGGTTGAGTTACTGTGAGGTAAGGATTCTATCAGGCGTGGCATCAATCGGAACCATGTGTCTTGGATATGATACATGGGTGGAAGCAGTTCGTTGCAGTCTCGGGAGGTTCAGGTCTTAATTAGGATCCGTGACCTAGACGTTAGGAAGTAGGATGCATTATTGTATTCAACAGGCAATTCGTTGTAGCACCTTTCCGAGGGGCGAACCTTGCACATCACTGGTACGCACTTAATGATGTAAAGAACTTCTCCTGCTGTAACTGCTGTGTATCTGGCGATTTCATTAGTCTGTGCGCCATTTCATCTGATGCTATGCTGGACAAAGATAGCGCGTTTTCGAGCACTTGCCTTTCGAAGGCACATTTTTGTGTCATGATGTCCCTATAATATAATATAGTATAAGTGAGTCAGCTGATTTTTTATGTGGCGTTCTATGTACACGAACTTGGAGTTTACATAGGTGAACATGTCGAAATTTTCGGGAGCGGTGCACTTGGACACGGTGCATTTGGACACAGCCAATCACAGCACCGTGTGATTAGAGACATTTGTAGGGTCCCTTGGAACAGCGACTTGTGATTGGACTGTGTCCAATTGCCCCGTGTCCAACTGATATACACTCGAAATTTTCTGCCGCTATGTCCGTCTTGGTTTTGAAGGTGCGATCCCTCACTGTTTCCAAAATGAAGTTTGGGATGTTCCGTGTGAATAATTTTATACAGTTTGGGATGTTCCGTGTGAATAATTTTATATCCGCAGAGATTTGATTCGGATAATTTTATTATAGCGAAGGTTGCTTCGTTGGTCGTAACTGTGTAGATTATTAGCCCGTTATCTTGTCCTGGTGGCGGTGAGAGTGAGCTGATTCTTCGTAAAGAACATCGTATCGGTAAAAATTGCAACTGTCTCTTGGTGAGATTCTCCAGTATGTAATAGTGCCATCAGCATCGTAGCACTGATGGTCGGTGGTCTTGTACCGAACTCCAGAGGGTAGTACAACTTCATTTAAGGAAAGTTTGATCCGGATCAAATAATTCTTGAGAATTATCTTGATACTGGCTTGGACGACTACGTTTTTCCATGTACCGTAGGGGTCACTAAAGGTAGTTCCTTGGCACTTACCGTCGTTTTCTAATGTACCGGCAAGAGTGAGGCTCCTATTTGTAGAGGAGTTGCGTTGGATCGAGTCTATGATAGCATTGTTTCCCAGGAAGATACTACCCGTTTCCTGGATTTTCCGAGAAGTTTCTTCAGAAGTTTTCTTAACGTATACACGTTTGCCGTTTGCCACCACAGACACATGTGAGAACATGCCGCAGCGGTAGAGGGTACGATCAATTTCGGTCCTGCCTCTGAATCGCCTCGGTATGGCTGAATTCACTGAACTGCATCATTTGGAGGTAGATTTATTCGGTCTTTGGTTCCATATCTTCGATCTGGCATTCCGCGATGTTAGTTAGAGATAGGGAGGTGATATTTAGACCTTCGCCTCCGCAATCATAGCCTACTAGTCCTTCGATGAAGCGGTTGTCTAAAAAAGGCTCGAGAAAAGAACGATGACAACATCTGGATACATCGTGTATAGAC